TTAGCCTCAATTACAACCTTGATCTTGATCTATGAAAAAGCCTTTGTGTGTATGATGTTTGAATATAATTATTTTGAGAGTTTTTAAATGTATTAAAACTTAATATTAGAGTGGAAATGTATTTATAAATTATAATATATGTTTTTAGTTAAATTTAAAAAAAATATATAATAACTAATAATTTGAGTGGTTTTGAAACTTTATAATAAATTAGAAAATACTACGTGTGGACAAAAATAGAATTTATACCTAAAAATGAAAGATAAATAATTTTTATCATGAAGTTCAATAAAGATATACTAAACAGTGAAATAGTATATATAAAAGTGTATAAACTATTTATAAAAATAAAATTTAAAAAATAAGAAATGAATATAATAATATTTATTATTTTTTAGAATAAATTGTTAAATATTAATTTAGTATCTTTTTAGAAAAAAAAATTTAAGAGTAAATTGAAATTTTAAATTACATTTGAACAGGCTTACAAATTTACAATGTCAAAGCCCAAAAGGCCCAAACTGATTATAAAAAAAAAATTTCGTTGTGAAATACAATACACAGGATTACACAATAGTTCCAAAATTTGAGCCATTTTATGAGATTCTTTTTTTTTTTTTTAAATCTTATATTTGAATGGACTTAATTGTAATTACCTTAGGTGTTTGTTTTTCAATTTTAGAACCATTTTTTTGTAATTGCACCCTATTTGTTCTGCTCGTACCAATCCAATTAGTTCACCGGGTAAAAAAAAAAAACAATAAACATTCTATTTTCTAAAACCAACACTTTTAATGTTTAATTTTTTTTAAAATATATATATATATATATTTTTTTTTTTTTGGCCGACAAAGTTTATCTAAAACCATAAACATTTTTTGAAACTTTTTTACGTTGTTTAGTTGCATCTCAAAAGCGTTTATTGAATTTCAAATGAGCTAATTTGAGCTTCTCTTATAAACGTTTTGCGAGCTTACTTAAAGTGCTAAAAGTTTCAAAAATTCCTTTATTATAACTTATAATTTGACTTGGTTTATGCTTATAATTACAACATTTTCAGTAAATTATTACTAGAAAATTCTTTTATATATTTTTTTTAACAAGTCATGTTATTTGAGCTCTATTAAAAAAATTTCTACGCCACTTGGGTTAGTTATATCTAAAAAGTTTTGTGTTCGAGTAGCATGTGAGGTACTTACCATATTTATGCAATTGTCTTGGTTCATTGGGTTATAAGTTGTTTTGTGACCTTAAAGATTAGGCAATGTGAGCCTGGATACCTCGGATACATAAAAAAAATAAAATAAAACATTTCTTTCTAAGCCCCTAATTAAATAATTTTTTAAAATAAATTATATACATAATAATTTTCCCTAATTAGCCTTATTTTCTTCCTCTTTCACTAACCTTCCCAAGTTAACAAAGTTTTTACAATAATAATAGGTTCACAACCTTCTCTCACAACTCTTGACGTGATAGCTCGTAATTGGTTACTGCGCAAATGGATAGACGGGCCCACAACAATAGATAGGACCCATTTGCGAGCTAACCAATTACAAGCTGTCATGTTGGGAGTTGTGAGCCGCAAATTAAAATAAATTATATACATAACAATATTCCCTAATTAACCTTATTTTCTTCCTCTTTCACTAACCTTCCCAAGTTAAAAAAGTTTTTACTAGGTTCACAACCTTTTCTTATAACCCCTGACGTGACAACTCACAATTAGTTAGTTCACAAATGAATAGGCTGGACCCATAGCAAACAGACGAGACCTATTTGCGAGCTGACCAATTACAAACGGTCATGTCAGAGATTGTGAGATTGAGTTATGACCAGTGTTTTAAAACCCGGCCCGGCCCCGCCTGTTGAACCGGGACCCAAAGGCTTCAACGGGCCGGGTTTAACTTTTCCGATTCACCCCAAAACCCTAAGATTTGGGAGGATGATCGGCGAACAATCAACGGCCAGAAGGTTGGGGCTTTTGAAGACTAAGTGCCGCTGAATGTAATGGTGTGATGGCGTTGATTTCTGGTGAGTAAATCGACCGAAAATCGAATAAATATGGTAGCGGCAACAATGGAATTTTGTCGGCGATTGGCGAGGCTAATGGGGGTGGGGTGAGTTGGGTTTTGGTCGGGAGGAATAGGGGAGTGTTGTCGACGCCGGCGTGGATGAGATCTGGCCTGGAATGCCAACGCCGGCGTCGGTGAGATCTGGTCGAAATCGAACGGCTAGATATTGGGTGGATTTTAATGGAAATGAGCTCAATGGACTATTAGGGTTGCATATGTGGTGCCGTCGCCGCCAATCAGTAGCCGGTCGATTTGTATTTGGGGTGCGTTTGATAAAGTTCAAACACATGGGACTTACATGTAATTTTTAGGGGCGTATTTGAATGAATTTAAAAGTTTTTGTCAACCGGTTTGACCATTAACCTGAGACCCGAAAACTTTGCTGGGTTTCACCCCAGGTTGGGTTTTAAAACACTGGTTATGACCTAATATTACTTAAGTTTTGATATGTAATAAGCATTACTCTGATAAATTATAATTTAATAAGATGGTCGAATAAAGGAAGCCTAAAACCCATTTGACACTTCTAATTATTTAATCAACTTAAGAGTTTGATGACAAATTCAATCTAATTTTATCCAATCAAATTTTGAGGTGCCATGTCACAAAGGGAATTGATTGGATGAAGAAATTAGTTTTATTGGTGTGTGCCTCACTTCTTAAATTCAATTTCAATTTAATTAATTTAATTTAACAGAATGTGAATTGTCCTTTTCATTATTCGGCCGTAGACTTGGGTTTGGGGAGAAGACTTGGAAATTTCAAAGAAAAACTCTAGTCAACTCTTGAGTCCAGTCTTTACTTTCAGAATTACCTAAATACCCTTCTCCTTCGACGAAATTTCAATCTTGACACAATTAACTTTTTAACACATGGCTTCCAATATTCCGAATAAGATCATATTGAATGAAATTTCAATCATGATGTTATTTCAAGGATTGATGAAATTACTGGTGGGAACGCATATTTAGTCAAAAGCAATTCTTACAAAAAAAAAAGAAATATAATTAATTTGGATAAATTAAAAGCTTGACTTGAAGGTTGACTAGAAAATTGATTTCATATTTCTATTATTAATTTTTGGGTGGAAATTTTGGGTACATTGACCTCCAAGTCAATCATGTGAATCAAACTTTAGGAATTTTCACAATAAAACAAAACTTTTTATGTTTTTCTTCTATTTTTTGTTTGATGGGTAAATAATATTATGTTTTTCTTTTCACTTTTTGTTTGTTTTTTGAGTCATGAAAATTTAAAAAATACTTTTTATATTTTCAAAACAAAACTTCACTAGCAACAAATAAGTTTTCTAGTCATTTACATAGTTGTATTTTTTAAAATTGATATATATATTATATAATATAATAGATATATATATATATATATATATATATTATATATTATATATATATATATATTTAATATATTCATAGTTTACATTTTGAGAAAATGGTATGATAATAATATTTAAAGTGAGGCTTGTATTTTTTTATCCATACTCTTGTTAATTGGTGCTTGATATAAGAAAAATGGATTATTTTAATCCATCAGCTTACACATACCTCAATTAATTTTTGAGATCTTTGAATACCCTACACCCAAAGCACTATATAGTCACAACGTGATAAAAATGTTATTAGCTTGATGCCTTAATACAAGAGGATTAAAACATGTTATTATTTTTAATTTGATCAATTTAGTTCTACTTTTACCCTCTAATACATCAAAAATAAAATATAAGTACTTAATTAAGTCTTTTCAAAAAAAAAAAAAAAAAAAAACTAAAAGCAATTTTCAAAAAGTAAATTTGAGTACATTTACAAAAGAAACATTATTCCAAACAATATTTGTTATTAAAAGTATTCTCAAATCAAATGAACTCCTCTTTCCATCCTTTCTCATCAACTTTAATGAGGTTAACTTGGACCCCCTGAAAGTTTAAACCACTAGGCCTAGCAATTTATTTTTATTATCTTACAACATATAAATATGAATTATAAGTAATTAAATTATATTTAAATTCTACAAATATTTTTTTACATTTAAAAATCCCAAATTTAATATTCTTAATTTTTGCAAATATTATTTAAATACTAAATTTAATATATTCTTAATTTTTTTGCAAATATATATTTAAATATAATTAATAAAGGATTATAGGAATTAATGTGGTCATTAAAAAAAGTCAAGGGTATAAGGGTAAAGTCCCAATAAGTCTATGGGTAAATATGTAAATCAGCGGTAAAACCTGGTCTTCCATCACTTTTAACGCAAACAAACGGTAGGGGGTCTAAGTGGCTATATTGGAAGTTTGTCGGGTTGGCGTATTTTTGAATCTTTCAGGCGGTCTAGGTGACATAACCCTTAATAAAATGATTCTTGACGGCATATATTTGCAAAAGCAATTAAATCGATTTGAGAATTGATAATGTAAACATCTAAAATAAATGAGGAAGAACAAAGAGCGTGTGGAAACAAAAACAATTGGACAGTGCAACGTCTTGCTGATTCCTGATTGGCTATCATCCTCAAAAGGTCTCATTTATTACAAAATATGGCCCTACCATTTTAAATTAATTTTAAAAATTGGGTCATTTGTCCCTTTTGCAACTCCATGACCATTAATATCCTATGAGGAGACTTGAACCTAGACTTTACGGGTGCAAACCATAATGGTACAAAAACCATAATTGACGAGTTTGGGTCAGTGAAGGAAGGATTAAATTCTATTATGAATCCGGGGTCTACCTGATGAATCAAAAACTAAAGGGACCCCAAGACAACCCACTAAATTTGAAAATTTCCAAAATGGTACAAAATGTATTAAGCGCAAAAACAAGGCACAAGTCAATCAGATTTCTATACTAGGCTAACCAGCAACCTCTCACTCCATAAGCAAGAGCCCTCCCAGTGGCACAAACACAAATGGCGGAGCATGTTTTAGCGCTTAAGCTGCTTGTACTTTCCTTTCTCATTCATTTTTCTTTTTCTGAAATTATTCGAAGACGTTTTTGACGGTAATTTTCTCTCAATTCATGGCTTCACATGCTTGTACCTTTCTATTTGTTTTCTTTCTAATTTTAAATAAATTATTTTTTATTTCATTTTTCGCTTATTTAGCCACGTCACTAACTGTAAGAAAACTTCTGTTTTAACAGACAGTTTGTTCTGTTAAAAAAAAAAAGAAATGGTGGTGTTTCGGTGTTTGGTTCCGGAGAAAATGTGAGAGAAATAAAAAGTGTCAAATTTGAAGTAAAAAATTGATTTTTGGGTACCCTTTTGCTTGAATTAAACCGCAATCAACTTCTTTTTTTTTTTGTTTTTTTTGTTTTGGCCTTGTAACTCTTTTTCGCTGCTGAGAAACAGCAGGAAAGTGAATAAAATGAAATGCTTAATCTTTTTTCTTGACTCTCCTGCAATTATTTTTCCACCTCGAAAGCCTCTATGTGGCTGCTGAGAATCAGTAGGAAAGTGAATGTTTAGTGCTTTTTGTTGAGCTATGCTGAAATCAACTTTTTTTTTTTTTCCTTTTTCTCTTTGGTGCCTTGAAACTCTGTTTGGCTGCTGAGAAACAATAGGAAAATGAATGAAAGTTAAATGAATATGTTTTTTTTTTACGTTGTGCCTTGATTTTGTCAAATTGAAGTAGAGGAAGAAACTGAGAAAATGAAAAAAGAAAAATAAAAAAATCTAAGTCAACTAGTCAACTCTGATTATATTAAACTACCAGTCTATTTCACGTCACCATCATGATAACTTCCTCCTTTTTTTATTTATTTATTTATTTTAATATTTGTTTGATATTTCTGAATGGAAAGCTGGAAACTGATGTTCTTGTAATAGTTTAGTGCACTGAAATATACTTTCATTTGTTAACTTCGGAGCTTTTGTTGCTTTAGTTAACAACTTTGGTTTGTGTTTTGATATCGGAAATAGATGGATGGCAATCGCGGTGGGTTAAGTCCGACTGGAAAAGAGCTGAAGGAAAAGCTGGAACTTTTAAACATACAGCTGGAAAGTGGAATGGAGATCCGGATGATAAAGGTACATAATTCTCAATGATTTGTTGTTGATTAGCTTCCATAATACCCAGTGTTGTTTTGATTAAATACATAGCTGTCTACCTGTTAAAATGTTGTGGTTTTGGAGAAGTTATTGCTGAGTTTCTTCATTTTCCTGCTTCTTAAAAATGGTAACTGGTTTGTTATTGAAAGAAAGGATAGTAATCAGAACTTCACCGAGTATATTTGTGTTTCAATTTATCCAAATTTTCAACATTCATCAAGGCTATCTTTGCTGTCGTCTTATTTGCTTTCAGGGTTCAAACCCGCTTAGATTATAAACACCAGGATTGTCGACAATGATGTCGCTATCCTTATCACCTCCTTAGCACTGTCACCAGCATCGTACAGCTGCCATCACCATGTAATACCTGATCTTATCTATTTTGTCTACATCCTGCTGCTAAAGTCGCCATCCTAATGATCACTCTGGATTTGTAGTTGCACTAATTCTGCAATTTTGAAATGTTAACTGGTGCTACTTCTTTCCTAATACCACACTCCATTGTGAATTAAACATGCCCCACCACTAACAAGCCTGCCACCATTTCTACAGCACATGGTGGTACTCCCACCACTTATCCCGTCTTTCCCTCCGTGACATCATCATTTCCACTGAAATTTGCACATATATTGCATATATTCAATATGCTTCTAGTTTGTTAAATGACATCACCATTGGTATGAAGGAGAAATGTGAGCTTTTTGTCTATTTTAGTGGTTTGTAATGTGCATAGATTTCTTGAGCAAATAAGGGTGTTAAGTGTAAAAGTTATACAAGGAAATAAGTTGCTCGCTGTTATTTTGTTCAAAATAGTTAGTGACTTGAACTGATACAGAAAAGAGCTAGAAAACAAAGACCTGAAAATGTCCTATGCACCCTTCTTGTCACCAAGTGGGAGTTCTGAATGGGATGCAGGGGAACTATTGGGGATTGTATCTAATGGACCTAGAATAGCTTCCTCTACTCATTTCATTATCATATTAAATCCCACTTTCAGTACAATTATTAAGTTTCTAAGGATCTTTATAATGTTGTAGGCATTCAGACTCACACTGATGCAAGACACTATGCCATATCCGCAAAGATACCAGAGTTCTCCAACAAAAACAGAACACTGGTTGTCCAGTATTCTATAAGATTTGAACAAGAGATTGAATGTGGTGGCGGTTACATAAAGCTTCTTTCTGGATATGTCAATCAAAAGAAATTTGGTGGAGACACCCCGTACAGGTAGCATTTCTTTATGCATATTTTATATGATCAACTCCTCAGTGCTTTAAGTTTGTGTAGCACCCATTTGTTAATTTAAATAATTGTCTTTAAGCATATCACCATTATGATCTCAATTGATGAAAATGACCGGAGACAAGATTATCATTTGCTATATTTCTGTAGTAATAGTGTTGAGGAAAAGGGCTTTTCTTTGACCTCAGTGAAGAGTGTCGTGTAATGAGAGCTTGAGACAGTGATCATATGCAGTCCTCTGAATTTGACCATATGCATTATAGGTGTCAGTTGGCCTGCTTAGAGCTACTGAATAGAGAGAATACAAAATGAATGGATGATATATTGATATGGTGATTCACAGTCTTCATTATATAGATGTTTTAAACTACCCTACATGAAGAGATAGCAAACAAACACAGAAAGCTTTTCCATTATTCTAAAGCTTTCAGTTAGTTTCTATGTTGTTTTAATTTAAGCTTTTTTCTATTTCTCCACCTAATCAATTGAGTTCTTATAGATCTTTATCACAGTAAGGAATTCCTGCTGACAAATTTTGTTCGTGTAGTTTTATGTTTGGACCGGATATATGCGGCACACAAAAGAAGCATCTGCATGTCATCCTCTCCTACCAGGGCCAGAATTACCCCATCAAGAAGGAGTTGGAATGTGAAACTGACAAGTTAACACATTTCTACACATTTATTCTTAGGCCTGATGCCTCTTATAGCATTCTCATTGACAATCGAGAAAGGGATTCTGGAAGCATGTATACAGACTGGGATATTCTTCCTCCACGGAAAATCAGAGATGTCAAGGCTAAAAAGGTTTCCTCAAGCTCAAAACTCCGTTCATATCAAGCATAGATTATTTCAATAGATCTGTAATTATATTTTAGTGTTAGTTGCTCATTCTTGCTTGTGACTTTCTCATTGGATTAAGTTTCACCTGTTTTTTTTTTTTTAATTACTGAGTCCAACGTAATTGTTTACCATGTTTCACAGCCTAAGGATTGGGATGATAGAGAATATATTGATGATCCTAATGCCGTTAAACCTGAGGTATTAAATTTTTATATACTTACTAATCATTCGTTTGATTTGTAATTGCAATGCATAAATTACTCTCTCATTCGTCTATAATTTGGTCTTACAGGGATATGATTCAATTCCAAAAGAGATACCAGACCCAAAGGCTACGGAGGTTTGTAAAATGGTTATGAAACAACAATATCAACAAAGCCATGTGTGTGAATGAGAGTCACAAGTGAAAGAAAATCAATTAACTCTTGTTTCCTTTTCCTTGATCAGCCTGATACTTGGGATGAAGACGAGGATGGTATATGGAAAGCACCAAAGATACCAAATCCAGCATACAAAGGGCCATGGAAGCCCAAGGTATGTCAATTTTACTTTTATAAGTGCATCAAAAGATTGAAGCCTGATACTTTTCTCTAATTTCTAATCAATTCAACTTTTTTGGGACACATCAGAGAATCAAGAACCCAAATTACAAAGGGAAATGGAAGGTTCCTTATATTGATAATCCAGGTACTACTTATACTGTCTGCTTTTTAACTGTTCAAGAAAATTTTTCAACAAAATGTTTAAATCTTCTTTTTTCTTGTGTAGAGTTTGAAGATGATCCCGATCTTTATGTGCTTAAGCCTATTAAGTATGTTGGCATTGAAGTTTGGCAGGTACGAATGTTGGATATGAATACCAATATCCTAATCTGAGAATGTCTTTATTTTTATGTTGCAATAAAATTTAATTCTACTCAGATGAGTGACTCGGCTATATGGTTGAGTGCAGGTCAAGGCTGGTTCAGTTTTTGACAATATTTTGATCTGTGATGAACCGGAGTATGCAAAACAAGTGGTAGAGGAAGTATTCCACAATCGGGAGGTGTGTCCCACTCTTTCGCTTTTTTCCAATGGAAGATTGTTAAGTAACTGTTCCTAACTTCTATTTTGATCTTTCAGATTGAAAAAGAGGCTTTTGAAGAAGCAGAAAAAATCAGAAAAGCAAGAGAGGAAGAGGTGATTATGCAGACATAATCTCATTTTACCGAACTATTCACATTCAGTTGTAAACTTTGTTTTTGTTGATTCCAAGTCATTTGAGCCCCTGAAATGTGCAGGAAGCTCAAAGAGCAAGAGAGGAAGGTGAAAGAAGGAGAAGAGAGAGAGGTTATGATCGACGCAGGGATCGCTACAGAGACAAATACAGAAGGGTTTGTGCCTTATAATACCAAAAAATTCTTTAACATTGAACACTATGTGCAGGATCTTTAATTTTTTGTTCTGTTCGAAGAAATGTAGTTTCTAAAACGGATTATTTCTTTTGCAGCATCCCCGCGATTACCTGGACGATTATCATGTAAGCCTCATTTCTGCTTTACTCTTGTCATTTGAATGCTAAAGAGTTGTGACATCTGTTCTATAGTGGCTCCCATTTTTTACTTGAAAAACCGACTTTTTATCTTCCCATACAGCATGGACAGATTTGTTCCGATCCTTGTATCTGCCATGTAGTTTGTTTACATCATGAAAACTTGGAAATGACAATCAACATACTCACTTTTGAATTGAGAAATTGATATGCTCGTTTAACAAATCCGTGTATATGTTTTCAGGATGAGCTTTGAGACGTTTGTTCCACCCGCTGCCCTCCTAGTGGTGGCATTGCCTCTTCTTTCAAGTTGTCAGAGCAGGGGATTGCTGAAATAACAACATTTTACCTTAGAGAGTAGTATTTTTTGGTCCTAAGTATTAATTGTTCTACAAGTTTATGTTGTAATTTTTTATTTGGAAGTATCACTTGTGCATTGTCATAAAAAAACTAGTTGAAACGTATTTTTGAGATATAAAGCCTGGCTCAATCTAAAGTTTGAAGGTGAGTTTAATTATTCAAGACCAATCTTTTAATAACCAACCCAGGGTGAAACCCGAAAAAGTTTCCGGGTCTTGGGTTGACCGATTTGAATGGCCGGTCAAACCGAGTGTCAAAAAGTTTAAAATTTAGCAATACACCCCTAAAACTTTTGTGACGTCTCTAAAGTTTGAAATTTAGCAAACACACCGCAGACACAAATCGGCGATCAACTGGTTGGCGATAGTGACACACCAAATGCAATTTCAATCATCCCTTGAGCCTATTCCCTAGAAAACCTACCCAATATTTGGTCAAAATTGACCGATTTCGGTTAGATCTCACAATCGTTGACGTCGACAACCCAGGTCAAATCTTACCACAGTCGGCGTCGACAACCCTCCTTATCACCTCGAAAATACTTCCCTTAACCTCCTGACCAAAACCTATCTCACCCTACCTTTGTTCACCTCGCCAATCGCTGGCAAATGCCGACTATTTCCGCAATTTTTTTTTTTTTTAATATTTTCGGTTGATTCACTTACTAAAAATCATTTCCGTTGTCACTATTACACTCATTGACCCTTCCTCTTCAAAAGCCCCAACATCCCTATCTTTAATTGTTCTTCGATCATCATCCAAATTTCTATGGTTTTGGGTGAATAGGAAAATTGATGAGTCTTGGTTGAACTGGTTTAATCGATCAGGACGGGTCGGGTTTTAAAACACTGTTGAAGACACTAATCACCTTTTTGTTATTAGACAAGCTAAATTCTTACCAACTCTTTATCCAAGTTAGGAGAGGATTTTTTTCGCAACCATTGTATATACAACCAGGCAACTATGAGACGTACATTTAAACCTACCAAACATGCGAGCAGGGCAGGTACATGCAAGGTAACAACATGTAATGTGTCAAACGGGAACAGGTTGACGAGTAAATTTTTGAACGGGTAGGGAAAGGCACCACCCATACCCACCTGTGCAGGTACCGGCTGACTTGCGGGTCTCCCATTTCCCACATATATTTTCACTTTTTTTTTTTTTCAACTTTTGTTATTCAAACCATAAAATATAAATTAACAACATACAATTTCAATACAATTAAACCCAATACAAAAAAAGTACACAGCTAATCGTTTATTATTTCTTTAAGCCCAATAGATCCAATACATTTTTTGTTATTATTTATTATTTCACAACTAATAATAATAGGTGATAATTGGTACAAGTCAAACTCATTAGTTTATACTGATTTAGACTGTAAACTAGGGTTTAGGAAACTACAAAAAAAGTTTACATTAATTTAACACATCTAATTAAACAAGGATTAGTTTGAAGGTTGTTTAATAAAATTGTCATTATCTAAATATTTTTTTTTTTTAATCTTTAATGAATATATATATATTTTTTTGTTTTTCCAGTTTGGAAGAAGGGCAGAGATGGAGCAGTAAGCGCAGGCAAATAGCAAATAAAAGCATAATTGAAAGGAGAGAGGGGCAAGAGCAATTCTTAATTCCTCAGATAATTACTTACAAAAAAAAATTTAATGTAAAATTAACACACCAATGATCTAGAGAACTTAGATAAAATTATGAATGTAAATAAATATTTATGAGAACAAATTGAGTAATGTTATTGTCCCATTCAAATCACAATGTCTCTTGAAATAGACCGACTTATGGGAATTCACCTGAAATATAAAACAAATTAAAAGTATTTGGTATTTTGATTGTTTGTAGCTTGGAATTATTGTCTGATCTGTTAACAAAGAAGAGAAAAAGGAAGTTACTTGAAGGGTTTTTTACTCACCTAAGGTTTAAGTAAATAGAGTTTCAACAAAATGGACCGTGCACTACCTCGGCTTTATAAGATAGTGACGGTTAAGTAATCAATTTTTTTTTTTTAATTATATTTAGATAAAGGGACGAAAATGATACTTTTCTATATAGAACTCGTCACAAAATGACCAGAGTCAGAGCTACACGCAGGCCTGGGGTGGCCACCCCACTCACACAATTTTTTTCTTTTTTTTTTTTAAATTTTATATAGAAAAGTATCATTTTCTCTCTTTTATTTTTGTCACCCCAGTTTATGAACTTCACACCTTGACCCCCATAATGTATCTTCCTAACTCGTAACTGACCCCTTCATTCATTCAACATATATTTTGACCCCTCGGAATAAATTTTCTGGCTCTGCCCCTGTTTGTGACCAACTTATGACCTGGTTAAGTTCATCACAAATTGATCATAGAAACACCATCCCATAAAGGTTTTTACTATGAATTTTTGTGATTTTATGATGATTTTTTTACATTTATTTAAAATATATTTATGACAATCTTCAAAATAAATAATTTTTTTTAAAGAAAGTCCATTATATATATTCTAGTGGTCTAGAGATGGCAATTGTACCTGGAATTTCGAGTACCCGACTCGGCTTGTTACCTGCTGTTTGTGGGGATGGGCACAAGACTGGGTACGGTTTTAGGGCCCACCCTTGGGCTCGGGACAACCATTGCCCGGCTCAGCCCGAGTTTTTAACATGGACCATTGTTAATTTTATTAATTTATGTATCAACCTTGCCCATGTTAATTTCTACAATTTATTTTCTCAGCTCACTCTTTATACATATATACAAAGCAAAGTGGTAACTTGCTATGAGTATATGCAAATTCTTCTTCCCAATTCATGGTATTTTTTCCTCCTTTCCTCCTTTCCACCATATTAATAATATTAATTATTAAAAGTTCACAATTTGTATATATGTAATAATATCCCTCATATTATTATATATACAAATACATCAAGATCCCTTGTCCACTGTATTAATCTATACACACAAAAAATATGATGATTAAAGCAAGAGATACTACTAATTAAATTAATATGAATGACAAAGAAATATATATCAAAGATTGTCAATGAGAAAATAAATTATAGAAATTAACATGGGTCGGGATTGGGAGTCATAGAAAGCCTGTTGGGCTGAGCTTAGGCATTACCTACCATCCTCGTGATAAGCCTAGGCCAAGGGGTATCCAGTCTTGGCTTGACCCATTGCCCTCTTTATAGTGATAACCTCTATTAGCAACTAAGGGGAATTGAACTTAAGACTTTTTGAGTAATATACTCAAGAGCTGTTATCGCCCCACCTGACCACCCAAGGATGGTTCATTTTGTTATATATTGCCTAAATATTTTTGTACATAATAGGCAAAATAAACATAATTTATTGTAACAATTATTATATACCCAAGCACATTACTTTCACTTAATTTGAATAAACCTCAATCCTACTAAATATGGTTTAGACAATAAATTTTGTTTTTCTTTATTTATTATAAAAATCTTTATTGAGTTGTAAACAATAAATATAAAGTTTTTTATACTATTTTTATCCCTATCTTATAAAGTATTTTTATTATCTTTTTTGTACTTTTACTTAAATTAAGCCATTTGTATTGTTACTCATTATTAGACTTTGCTAGAAATGACAAAGCCACCTTAAATGTTTCTACTTCCCTTTTACTCAATTAATTAATATTAATGTTTTTATTTGGAAATTTATTTCTTTTTTGTTTCTTACCATATATAGATGTTTTATATTTTTTTTTTCTAATTTTATATAGAAATATATATTTCTAAACAATTCAGGACTTTTATTAATACTAACCTTTTCTATTATTGGGCTGAGATTAATAACTCAAAGCCCTTTTTTTTTTCTTTCTTTTTTTGAAGGGGGGGTTGGGCGTGGGGGGATTATTATATATTATGATCTTCAACTAATTAAAGACAAAAAAAAAAAAAAAAATGCTATATTCTATTTTTTAAGTTTATATTTTGCATAAAATCTATATTCTTGCAACTTAATTTAATTTCTTTATGTGATATATTATATGTTAGAAATCGCAAAAATGTTCTTGTAACATGAAAAAGTAACCAACAATTATTAATGACTGACATCTAACCGTAGATTTTTATTATCACACGCCATTTGTCATTTTAAATCAGAGAATCGTCAATCCTAAATCAAAATATAAACATAAATGAAAACCTTTTTAGAGGGCCGAAAAGTAATTTTGTTTCGTTACATATGAGTATAAAAAGCATACACACCCAAGCGAGAGAAACATAGAAGCAGAAACAACCGAGTGAGCAACAAAGAGACTCAACCATTTTCGATTCTTGATTAGGGTTCTGGTTTTTAGCATATCCATTACCATGTATAGAAGGAGGTTAGTCTTCTATTCACTATACATTTTGTACATGCATTTGTTTTACTGATTAATAAGTAAATTGTTTCCATTTTTCATTTTTCCATCAAACATTATTAGTTCATAAAATTATAAACTTTGATTCAAGTGATTTCATACTTTATAAAATTTCTTAATAAGCCAATTTGCAACAAATTTAATTTCCATCAATCAAAACTTTAACATATATAAAAGTTTATCTTCTTCAACAATTTTTGGTATATTCTTATTATTACAAGCTATTTGTCATTTTAAACCAGGGAATCGTTCGTTCTAAACTAGAATATTGAATATAAAGGAAAACCCTATTTGAGGGCTAAAGAGTAATTCTTTACTCGGTTTGTTTTCATCAAACTTCGTTACTCAATTTTTGATGATGTTTATCATTTGTTATAAATCGTCTGATACACTAATTTTTTATATCAAAATTTTTCTAGTTGAGTGATTTCATACTGCATATAATTTCTTAATAAGCTAATTTGCCAAATTTTCATTCACAATAATAATAATAAAAAATAAAAAATTAGATGAAAATTTACCTTCTTCTTTATTTTGTTTTTTAAAATTTTCTTACCCCCAATTAAAATTTTGGGTAAATTTATGAAAATCCTTAACATCGCACTTAATTTTAAAAAATTCCAACAAGTTTCAAAATTTTCAAAAACCCCTTAAGGTTTTCCAATTCACCCAAGATCTCTCTAATTTCTATGATCATCACTTTGTCCCACAAAGAAACTTGCAATGCTTAAGTAAATCATTTTTTCGCATTAATATGTGTGCATC